TGGGGTGGTCGCACTGGGGCAGCTGGGGTTTGTGGGCACGCAGCAATTCGGGCGGACGGGGTTTGGTTCGGTGTCCCCCTCCCAAGGGGACGGTCAGGTGTAAAGCCCCTCTGCAGCCTGGCCCTGGAGCCGAGGCTGTGGGAAGAGGAGTAATCCCACCCGAGGCTGGTCGGTGGGACCACGGGCTGTTTGTGAAGGCTTTGAAGGCAGCGGGGTTTGATGGGCTTCTGGTACGTCCGACCACCCGCCTGCCCTGCCCCGAGACAGTCCTGAGTGTGTTTGGCCGAATTAACGTTAACCAAATCAAGCAGAGGTCTTGCAGAGCTGAAAGATGTGATTTCATAGAATCAGAGAATGGTTTGGGTTGGAAGGGACCTCAAAGATCATCTAATTCCAACCCCCCTGCCATGGGCAGGGACACCCTCCACTACACCAGGTTGCCCAAAGCCTCATCCAACCTGGCCTTGAACACTTCCAGGGATGGGGCAGTCACAGCTTCTCTGGGCAACCTGCTCCAGTGCCACAGCGTTGGTGAAATCTCCCAGCCGTCGGAGACCCCATGAGCAGCTCTCGCCAGAGGGCTGTGGCACTGTCTGCGGGGGCACAGGCTGGTTGCGTCCTGCATGGCTGCCCTTGCTGGGCAAACTGCCTGCAGCGTTCCTGTGCACATTTTGTGCTGGTGGTGGTTTTCTTCTCTTTCATGATGATGATTTTTGTTAAAGAGTACTTTCCACTTAAAAACCCAAAAGCTCTGATCCTTCAAATAATTTTAATTCGAAGGCTGAATAAAACCTTTGGTTTGTGAGCGTTTGCTGGTTCAGGCTCTTTGGCTGTAAGCACTTTTCTTCTGTTTTCTTTCCGTGTTCCACCAAATACTTCCTGCATGACTTCAGGCGAGTCACGTTACCATTTACAATACAAAGATAACAGTGTTCTGTGGCAGAGCTATGGTAAACATTAAATGCAATACTCCTAAACCAAACCAACATTGATGTAAACAAA